CACACACACACACACACACACACACACACACACACACACACTCACACACACACACACACACACTCCAATGACTCCAAAAAACCTACAAAGTGGAACAGTCTTGATTCAGGCTCTTATTTTCACTCTTATAAAAGGATCGCCCTGCAAAAAATACGCCAAATCTAGTCTGATTTGAAATGCAGGTGATATATTTCCCGGATGCACTCATCTATTTCGTAGCAAAAATGCACTGAAGAAGCTTTATAACAAAAATCCAGGCACTGGAACACGGCGATTCTCTGATGGTCACGATTCTTCACTTGAGTTGCATCACCACTAACAAGAATAGAAGGCCACGGTTCATAAATGCTCACCATTATGTCTATAAACATGTTGCACAAAGTTGATGGCAAAGGAACGCAGCGAAGGCTGAAACCGGCTGGACTTATTCTGTGTGATCTGTAGATGTTTCATCCTGTCAGTTGGCAGATCTCTTGTTGTGCTGGGATTACATTTGTCATCTTGTTTTGACATTTATTTTCAGCTTATGCCATTTTCTTTCTCAGCTAAACCTGTGATTTGAAAGTTAACCATCAAAGTCTAGTTATGTAGAGTTTGCATATTTAACTTAGCATTCAGTATTAGACCTGTTTTCAGAGAATATCTCTTGAATTAGAATTAAAAACAAGTTAAATTGCATTTTTAACCACACTTAAAAAAAAGATTTTTTTGACATTTTTTCAAAGATTATCGGTGTTTTACAAGAAAATATAATTAAATTTTTTTCTACTTCAAAATTTCATTTAATTCAATGTTACTTGCCGTTTATTTGTAATTATTTGTGAAATTTACTTGCATTTTCCGAGTGAAAATTTCCAGTGAAGATTTATGCAAATTTTTGCACATGCATAAATTAAGAAAAACAAAACAATTTGAACAATCTCACAATTGTTATCTTATAATAAGTCTTAATATCTTATGCCATTTGCTTCTCAAATAAATGCATTATAATAATGACTGTTTTCAAACAAGTTTCCACTATTTTTATGCCACTGGTTGAATCATTATTATTATGCTCCGCATAACACACTTCACCTTCAAAAACTTGTGCTTTTAAAATTGTTTACATTTTAGTTTAGTCTGGTTTTAAATTTCATGTTTAATTCAATGTTACTTATAATTTCTTTGCAGTAATTTGTAAGTAATTTTTTTCAATGCAGACGCTATGCTAGCTTTTTAGTTTTTTTTCAGTATGCATAAATTAAGAAAAACAAAGCAATTTTAACAATTTCAAATATATCATCTTTAAACAAGTCTTAATATCTTATGCTATTTGCTTCTCAAATAAATGCATCGTTTTAAAAGTGAAGTTCATCATAAAGACACAAATAATGACTGTTTTCAAACAAGTTTCCACCGTTTTTGTCTTTATTATTATGCTCGGCATTACACACTTCACCTTCAATAATTTATGTTGTTAAAATTGTTTGTATTCTAGTTTAGTCTGGTTTTAAATATAATGTTTAATTCAGTGTTACTTGCCATTTATTTGTAATTATTTGTGAAATTTACTTGGGATTTTCAAGTGAAAATTGTTTCAAAGTTGTTTTTTTTTCAACTAAATTTTTTCAATATGCATAAATTAAGAATTTTTTTCATATATATATTATCTTAAAACAAGCCTTAATATCTTATGCAATTTGCATCTCAAATAAATGTATCGCTTTAAAGGTGAAATGCATCATAAAGACAAATTATGACTGTTTACAAACAAGTTTCCACCATTTCTTCGCCATTATTGTTATGTTCAGCATTACACACTTCACTTTTAAAGATGTTTTTACCTGAAAACATGACAGAAATGCTGATTACATTTACGGAAACTCTTAATTGTTGGTTTGTGTGTTAAATTTGCACTGAAATCAGCACTTGATCCACTTTATTGAAGTGAAAATATCATCTGGCAGTGGATGTGGAGGATGTTTTGAGCTTCTAGATCGTCTCTCTTTATTGAAATCACACTCAAGTGACAAACACAACGCATCCGTCTGACAAACGCGCTGAGAAAGCAGCAAAGACCAGCTGTACGCTGCTGTTTGCGTCAAATAATCTTTATCTCACAATCCTCCACGTGAGGAGCACTTAAATAAACAGAGATGACACTGCCCAGGTTTGCTTTCTGAGGATGGAAAAGATCGCTTACAGTTCAGTTCTGCATTTGACTAAAAAAAGTCAGTTCATAAAAGCAAGAACAAGTATGTACATTATGAACAACCAAGAGGAAAACATCATCTTTTCCACTGCAATCATAGTGATTCAATTGGCTACAACAACATGATGTGGCACAAGGAGAGAATTAGTCAAACATCTTTAGCACTGGCAAAATACATCTTCAGATGTTCAAAATTTACTGAAGGACAAGAACACTAGCATGTCTGAAGCAATGCAAAAGTACAGATGTACCACACTAGGCTTTTGCTGGAGTGTGTTCAGCAATCATTCGAACCTGCAAATCAAGTAGAAAAACAGATGACATTGTGCATGTTACAATTCTGCATTTTAGAAAGAAATAATTAGGCCTAAATTGAATATTTATGCAGTTGAATTGAATATAAAATTTTGAGTTTTAACAAACTTTTTTTGCGAGATATAAACGCAGAATTGCGTGAAAAAAGATCAGAATTGCGAGATATGAACGCAGAATTGCGTGAAAAAAGTCAGAATTGCGAGATATAAACAGAATTGCAAGAAAAAAGATCAGAATTGCGAGATATAAATGCAGAATTGCGAGAAAAAAAGTCAGAATTGTGAGAAAAAGATCAGAATTGCGAGATATAAACGTAGCGTTGTAAGACATAAGTCAGAATTGTGAGATACAAATGCAGAATTGCATGAAAAAAGTCAGAATTGCGAAGAATAAAGTCAAAATTGCAAGATATAAACGCAGAATTGTGAGAAAAGTCAGAATTGTGAGAAAAAAAGTCAGAATTGAGATACAAACGCAGAATTGCGAGAAAAAAGTCCGAATTGCGAGAAAAAAAAGTCGGAATTGAGATATAAACGCAGAAATTAAAAAAAAAAGTCCAAATTGTGAGAAAAGTCCGAATTGCGAGAAAAAAAGTCGGAATTGAGATATAAACGCAGAAATTCGAGAAAAAAAATCTGAATTCTGTGACAAAAACTTGAAATTGCGAGAAAAAAGTCTGATTTACCATTTTGTTTTATTCGGTGGCAGAAAAAACCCCCAGCAGTGCGAGATGTAAACTCAGAACTCAGAGAAAAAAATATGATCAGAATTGCGAGAAAAAAGTCAGAACTGTGAGTTTATATCTTGCAATTCTGACTTTGCTTTATTTTGTGGTGGAAAAAAAACAGAATTGCGAGAGTTTATATTTAATAATTATAACTCTTTTCTCAGAATTGTGAGAAAAAAAGTCCAAGTCGAGTGATAGAAAGTCGCAATTACCTTTTTTTTTTTTTTTATTCTGTGGTGGAAACGGGTTTCCATAAGATTCAATGAGTTAAAATGCATGAGAATGAAACAAATTGAATTTAATTATGATAAATATGTAAACCATTTAGTTTAATTTATGTATGACTGACAAATATGCATCACATTAAGTTTATGTTAGAACTGTGTCATCCGAATTTTATATGCAATTCATGTGCTAAATGTGAAATTTAGGCCGAAATATAATGTCGAGTATAAGGGCTGGTGGCAAATGCGCAGCACATCCGAGTCGTCGTTTCAAAGTCGAGTCGATGTCTCTTTACAAAAGTGAGAATGGAAATTAAGGTCTGATTGTTGACACACGTTAACGCTAATCAATCACTTCCTCACCAGGTCAACCCTGCGTCTATTTACACAAAAAATACTCAATTAAAAATGACAATGATGAAAGAGAATGAGAGAGTAATCATATAGCTTTGATTCCCGACCCCCACCACCCACCTTTATATAAAAGAAAAATGTTCCCGCAAATATAAACATACCTTTTTTTTTTTGCTTTTCTCACTACATTTTCAATGTGACACGTTTCAACACACAATGAACTATTTTTTTGGAAAAAACAAAAGAACTGATACAACGCATTTCTAAACACAAAATAACAACAGCCTACATGTAAAAATATAACTTTTACATACACAATTTCAAAATAATGGTACGTTTGCATTTGTTGCATACAATTTACAAATGTCCGTGTGTTTCCCTTTCGCCGAGTTTGACGAGAGCATCGACGACGGTCCCGGTGACGTTATGAAAAATAGAGTCACGTCTCTCAGAGCGGACGGCGTTCGGGAAGTCTCCGCTCGGCTTTACAGAATGAAAAATCGATCCCCGTGAACTCCTTTCCGTCTCTTTATATACTGTATATATTTCTACATTTATATATATCGATTTTCTAATAGATTTGTGTCCACTTTCAGTGCCTCCCGTCCATTTTTTTCAATTTTTTTGACAGAGAAACCAGTACAGACGAAGAATAGAGAGATAAAAAACGAGAAAAAGCCATTTTACACGTACAACCACACATTTGTACAGCTACAGCGGCTCAACAACAAGCCTGTAATCGTAAAAGCGGATATCTATAATACAATGCGCAATAACGACTGTGACAGGAGGGCGGGGCTGTGGGCGGGGCCACACGGGGCTGGACACACCTCCTAATTACATATAGCCATACAGTACATTAAATACAGTTTATCCAAAAAAATACTTTTTTTACCTTTTTACTTTTTTTTTTTTAAACTCCAGGCCGTAAAAAACCTGACTGCATAGACCTAATGACTAACGCTTCCTATACGCTTGCATCCTAGATAATGTTCTCCTCCAGTTCTGTGATGATATGAGCTCTAAAAGGCACGTTGGTTGACGTTTCGACATGTTAAAATTGCATCTTCGGGGTCGGGGAGGGCTTCGGGAGAGTCGATGGCTAGAAACAAACGAATAAACGGAGAGAAATGACCTTCCATAGGTGATCGGCTCTTAGTCGACCGGAGCAAAAGTGTGTAAAGCGAGCCCAAAGCGGCTCCAGAACGGCCTCTGAATGTTCACTGTCGGGATCTGCTGGTTTCAAAAGAACTAAAACAACATTATTGCAAAGGTTTGAAGGGTTTTGTCAAATTCTGCAGCCGAATCCCATCTTGGTCGTTTGATTGACAGCTCCTCTCGTCCCGACTGATTGGGAATTTCCTAATTCTCTTCTGTTGTTTTTCCGTAAGGAGTTCCGCGAGGCACAGCTACAAAAGTTCGCACACCTCCACAACATCATGATATGTTTGAAGAATCGTCCCGTCGCTCTTTTTATTTGAGTGTTCGCACATAAAAAAACGTCCTCTTTTGCAACAGGGAATGCTCGGAGGAAGATATGCACAACAAATCCTGCGCAACTCCCTAATTTACAGGATAAATCCTCACAGACGCGGTCAGGAACGGGAACACGCAGGAGGTGGTCGGTTTGGATGGAAGTTCGTTCGATTGGTTCATTGATTGTTTGACGGAAGTTCAGGGGCAGAAATGATGCTGTCAAAGAAAGTGATCGCTCATCATTTTGATGAATTCCGGCAGCTTCGACCTGAAAGACAGACAGACGGAGAGAGGCGTTAACATATAGTGCAACACTATTGCCAAACACTGCAAAAGCACCAAAATCAATATTAAACAATGCATTCTGGAGGACTTTATTATTCATGCCATTTAGGCACATTTTCCCACTTAATTCTTTAATTTCATTTAATAATTCTCGTTACTGTAATGCAGTAATGAAAACTATATTTTATGGACATAATTAAAATAATTATAAAATAATAATTATATAATATAATTATAATAAAATAATTATAATGATTGTAAAGGTAATAAAGCACTCTTATGAATGAAATGCAGTAATGAAAATCATACTGTGTGGAAATATTATATTATATTATATTATATTATATTATGTAATATTTTTTAAAAATTTTTAATTCCTTAATTTAATGTAAAAATTCTCGCTACTGTAATGCAAAATGATGTTAATAAATAAAAAGAATAAAAGTACTCTCACTAATGTAATGCAGTAATGAAAACTATATTTTATGGACATAATTTACAATAACTAATTAAAATAATTATAAAATAATAATTATATATAATAATATAATTATAATAAAATAATTATAATGATTATAAAGGTAATAAAGTACTCGTATGAATGTAATGCAGTAATGAAAATCATACTGTGTGGAAATATTATATTATATTATATTTTTTGTAAAATGTAACAATTCTCTTTACTGTAATGCTAAATATGTAAATAAATAAAAATAATAAAGTACTCACATTAATGTAATGCTGTAATGAAAATGATGCTGTATGGACATAATTTATATTATATTATATTATGCTACATGTAATATTTTTGATTCTTCAATTTAATTGAACAGTTCTTATTACTGTAATGCAAAATATGTAAATATTAAAAATAACAAAGTACTCGCATTAATGTAATGCAGTAATGAAAATTATACTGTAAGGACATAATTTACATTATATTATATTTTATAAGATTTTTTTTAAATAATATTTACTTTTATACTAATTTATGCTATCTTATATTTTTGTTAATTTTATAATAATTGTATTGTTTGTTGATCCTTTGTATAAAAACTGTTGGCTCAGACAATAAAGTTTTTGAATTGAATTGAATATTATATTAAAACGAGCATAAATTAAATGCAATATAGGAAAATGTTATGCAAAAAAAAAAGGCTTTATATTTTCTATATACACTTTTTTTTTTCCTGTTGATTGTGTAGTAAAATATAACTTGGACATTTCATGTCTTTAAATAATCGCATACTGACATATCTTTCTTCTATTTGCTGTTCTGAACGCCTCTAAAAACATCATATCTGTTTACTAACGGAGAATGTTTTCCCTCATCATAAAATCTGTAAATTAAAGCGAAGATGAATGAACTAAGCTTAATTCACACCTTCAATTGTCCCTTAATTATAAGTTGTAAACTCATTAAGTGCACATTACAGTCATTTACACAGAGAACATGAACCTTTGGAGCTGCATCTATCTGTTCACACCAATAATGCAATGTGAACATTGCACTTTTCATGCTTTCCCTTGATTTATTTCTGCTCAAGCTAACAAACAAACAGTGAGGAATTAAATCAGACAATATGAAGACTAAAACAAGTCATGATAATCATAATCAAACAGCACTTTTGAATGAAATGGTCAGTGATATTGTGTACATGTACCTTTTAATGTGTACAAATATCTTCATTTAGCTTTATTAATCGATTCTATTGTAAATTAACAAAATATAATACATAGTTTGAAGTCAAAATCTCTATGTACACAAATTATAACCCACACTTACGGCCAATCTGTTGTTAAAATGCGCCCATTTTTACATTTTTAGGTTTGTTTTTGTCGCCACCCAAAGAAAACTAGTCATCGTTTGATGAATTAAGTTACGTGGCATGTGACCAATGATTAGAAATTAGAAATGTTCTGCATCACTTTGCCTAATAATTCTGTTTAATGTGCCAGAATGAGTGAGTAAGCGAGTGATTGCAGGATTGATTGTTTTGGGACGTGTACAACAGCAGATCAGTGCAGAGGGAAATATTCTGACCATTTACGGGGGTGTGGCTCTTTACATTTGTCCCATGGGATTGGACGCCTCGCCCATGCTGTGGTGACCGCCGGCCAATGAGAGCGGAGCACCGTCCGATGACACCTTCTCCTCTTCCCGCCTCTTCAGACACGCCGCCTTTGGGTTGAGATTGCGCTCTGGAAAGTGAGGAGCACAAACACACGCTTTAACATGTGGGTTGGTGCGATGCTCAACAGCTGCTTTATCTACAGCTGATAGGACGCCATCAAGAGGGACAAAAGTGTCACTACGGCAAAATACAGCTAATCTAATCTGGAACACAAAGTGTTTGCTGTATACAGGAGGTAATGATATTCATAATATTATTTACAAATAATGTATTGTTAAAAGAACTCGTGATATAACATGATTAATTGAAAATAAAATAAAATTACCCTAACCCTAACCATAATAAAAAAAAATGTTTTTTTTAAATATAAAGGTTATAATAATAATAATAAAATTTGATGTTAAATAAAAAATACTGCAAATCGAATCCAGAACAGCTATATTAATAAACTCAGAAAATTGCATGCTATATACAAGAGTTATTAATATTATTACTAGCTATATAATAATAATAATAAATACAAAATAATTAATTAATGAACATAAAAATAATTAATAATGAATACATTAATAAAATGTACAATTTTTTTATTTTATTTAATTTTATTAATGTATTCATT